TTGTGGTAAAATTAGCTCAGCTAATCAATTATTGAAAGTTATATGTACGCTGCGTAAGTTAATTCGACGCCCTTAGCTAGCCAGTTTAGAGCCATATCCGGCCTCGATGGTTCTCAAAATCTATTTCGAATTAGTCTTGCCACCTCTTTTTGTTCTGATGATAGGCAAACTATGCACACGCTTTCTGTAGTACAAACCTGTCCGCAGAAGGGCTTTCGAATGGTTATGTAGCGCTCGATGCTGATGCAGGACAATAGCGTTAACGAGGCTAGTTTCACTGCTTGTTCGATGACGAACATGGCACGACAACTGTTGTATCTGAAAATTAAATAAGGGCGAGTGACATCAGCGTGGGCGATTTTATAGCGTTACCGAGCATCAAGTGAGGGACACTGAGGTAGATTATCCTCACAAACAGCACCATCAGCACCGTGATGTCGACAATGGCTAGCACTGAAATGTAGGCTCGAAGTCGATCGGATGGCGATGTGTGACCGAGCAGTCCTCTACAAGTAGAAATAATCATATTTCTTAATAAGGAGAAATCGACGATCTTGTAATCATAAACAAATTTTTCCAAAACATGTTTTCCTCATTCATCAGAAGCGGTTCTCCTGCTCGAAATGCTAGTAGAGCTGCGAAGTGAAGAAAGAAAAAGGAAAAAAAAAAAAAATACAGAAAATGAAAGCTTCTCAGAAACGATAAAGGTCTGCAGAAATGGAAGTGAGTCGTTTGTAGGAACTTTTTATGCGATCAGAGTGAAGGTGGCTAGCATTGCTTTGTTTCGGAAAAATCTGTTAGATTTGAACGATTTGTCTGTTTTATGGAACTTATTTTCATTCATCTACATTTTTTATTTTATTTTGAGAGATCGGATGGTCATTTCTAATTTTGAGCATGCAAACAAAATCAAATTCCCAATACTTCGGCTTCTCTCCATTCGGATTCGCAGTCCAGTGGAAATGTTTTCCTTTCATTTCATTATCTATTCATTATCATAATTCTACAATTTCGATCTGCAGTCTATAAAATTGCTGCAGACACATAGGCGAAAAACGTCAAGAACTTCGCAAGACGCGGAGCTGATAGTAAAAAGCCAGTAAGCCAGAAAAGCCCTAGCGCCTTTCTTGCGCACTTCGTGCTGAATTGTTCTGTGGAGGCGTGGCCAAAAAACAAAATTTGCTTGCCGCCACTTGAAGTGGAGTATACGACACACCGAGAAAAAGGGGAGAAAGTATTCCACGGAGTATAAACGTAAAATGTTTCTCAATCAGGAATTCAAGTTGCACGACATCGTAGCTGACAAACCAAGCCTGCCAGTCTCCTCTATTGTCGGGAACACAGAGATTCCACGCACGCCGGTACGGAAAATGCTAAGGAGAAAGGTAATGGGATCGAGGAAGCGCAGATGCCACGTTGACCCTCTAGTAAAAAACACTCCGGAGGACTTTATACTGGGGAGTCAACGTGGCATCTGCACGTCTCTCAGTCCTATGATCTTTATTTCCTATAACCGGCTCCACTGAGTAGGAGTTAAAGCTATTAAGACCACTAAGTGGTCAGTCGAGAGTGCACTTATCTCTACATCTCCTGAGGTGGGTGGGAAGCGTTGCAACGGGGTCGATGGTTGCAGGCCCGTAAGGATTAGCGCCCTAACCGCGCAATTTTTGCGACGAAGCTGGAGTGATCTAGGTAGGTACGGACCTTACAATTTCCCTCGCGGTATCCTTCCCACAAGTCGGGCTAATGCCGGGGTTTGCCTTTAAGGGACGACTTTATGCTAATGTAAGAGAATGATTTGGGTAAATTTATTGTGGAATGCGCTTCAAAGTGCTGTAAACAGGTAAGAAATCACAAAACGATATGATGTATTACATTATGCAGTAGATGAAGCATTGAGATTTTCAATTTTTCCCTCACAAAATCTGAGGACTTTGTTAAATTGGTTCTTCCACTGATGTTCCTTCACTTGTTCCTGTTGGACGAAACACTTCGACCTGCTCATCTTGCATGAGCATTGACCTTGCCAAATGCCGCCCTCTCTCTCTTTCAGCATTTCTAGCAATATCAAAAACTCCCAAACGAAAAGTAGGACCTTACTAATTTGGCAATGAAGCAAACGAGGAAGTTTGTT